GCGCAAGCCGATCCGACCTTATCAATGGTGCATAATCTCTTATCTCAAGTACTACATCGAGCCATACCCGGTAACGGCAATGGAGTGCCGCCACCACCAGATTTTCTGAAGATAGTAACCATATGAAGACGTTGGGGACTTACCACTTTGAAGGAGAGCCAGATCTTTACCAGGCGGACGCATGGCTACAAAGCATCGAAAGGAATTTCGCTGCAACTAGGTGTCCAATCAACTTCAAGAAGGACGTTGGAATCTACTATCTACGGAAGGACGCACTAAACTGGTGGGAGAGTGTGGATCGACAAAAAGGCCAGTATGTCAATACTTGGGAGAAGTTCAAACACGAGTTTGAGCAGAAGTATTTTCCACCAGAAGCACGGGATCGTCTAACTCAAGAATTTCTGAGATTGGAGCAAGGCGAGAAGAGTGTACGAGCCTATGAAGCGGAGTTTATGAGGTTACAAAGGTATGCCTCATACTGTAACGAGGATGATAAAGCCCTGGTGAGACAATTCATGCAAGGCTTAAAACCGGAGATAGGAGGTCGACTACAATCTGTCACTTTCACCAACCCTCATGAAGTGATAGAGAGAGCGGTGAATGTAGAGACATATCTACAAAAGGAGAAAGCCGCGTGGAACAAAAGGAAAATGGAGTTCAACGCGACAACCAAGTCAAAGAAGGGAGGTCAATCTTCTAATCAAGGAAAACCCCACAAGGGTAATCAGAAGTCTGGAAATGGAGATCGAGGATGCTACACATGCGGAGAAAAGGGACATTTCTCAAGAAATTGTCCTCGTACCTTCAAGACAACAGAATCTCTCATGCATGTCAGATGCTATCTTTGTGGCGAATTTGGGCATTACGCCACTAGTTGTCCCAACAGAGTTGTTGGAACAGCAGGAGGATCCGGCAAACAAAACGCACCACCCCGACCAATGAAAGAATCCCCGACTAAGCGTCTAACTTCTTCGGGTAAGGTGTATGCTTTAGAAGCAGGACCATCAAACCCGTCGGGATCAAACCAAGGTCCCATCACAGGTATTGTGGGAAACTAACTTTAACTTGTTATTGTTAGAATATTAGTTTGTGTGAATGCTTGCTTAATTTAGTATGCATATTGGTATTGTGGTGTGGTGCTAGGAACAATATGTGTAGGTGGTATCCTGACACATGTTTTGTTCGATTCGGGAGCGACACATAGCTTTGTGACTCCCGAAGTAGCATCTTGTTTTGGTGACGCTTATAGGATAGGATTGGTGGAGGTTTCTGTTGTAACCCCCGGAGACCAAGTCCTTAAAGCGTCTAGTGTCGTGTTAGGTGTGCCTGTTGTTATGCAGGGAGAGACGTTTTCGGCTGACCTACTAGTCCTACCCCTAGCCCGCTTCGACGTAATCCTTGGAATGGATTGGTTGTCAAGCTACAAAGCTCAGCTTGACTGTGAGAGAGGAAGAATCACCTTCAAAGGATCTCAGCGTCAGAAGATTGCGTACCAAGGAATCAGTCCTAGTACGGCAGTGGCGTTAGTAGCTGCTCTACGAATAGAGAAGCAGTTGGAGTGTGGTGAAGCTTATCTGATTGCTATCAGTGTGGTGGAAGAAGAAGATGACAAGGAGTTGAGGGTGGAAGACATTTCAGTTGTGTGTGAATACGGGGATGTATTCAAGGCATTAACTGAATTGCCCCCATCCCGGAAGAACCCCTTTACTATCAGTCTTGAACCAGGAACGGCACCAATAGCAAGGGCACCATATCGCATGGCCCCAGCAGAGCTAGCCGAGTTGAAGACACAGTTAGAAGACTTGATGGACAAGGGATTCATTCGACCGAGTTCCTCACCATGGGGAGCACCGGTGTTATTTGTGAAGAAGAAAGACGGTAGCATGAGGTTATGCATTGACTACCGCGGGATCAACAACATCACTATCAAGGACAAGTATCCCCTCCCGAGGATAGATGAGTTGTTAGATCAGTTGCGAGGAGCAAGTTGGTTTTCCAAGATCGACTTAGCCTCCGGATATCATCAGATCTCAATCTTTGAGCCAGACGTATTCAAGACGGCGTTCAACACGAGGTATGGTCAATACGAGTTTGTCGTCATGCCATTCGGATTGACCAATGCCCCGGCCGCATTCATGAGATTGATGAATGAGGTGTTTCACGACTACCTGGATGGATTCGTGATAGTCTTCATCGACGACATATTGGTTTACTCCAAAACCAAGGAAGAGCACAAGGAGCATCTGCGGAAGGTCTTGGAAAGACTAAGAAGTCAGAAGCTCTACGCCAAGTTCAGCAAGTGTCGGTTCTGGAAACGGGAGATAGGTTTCCTAGGACACAGGGTTTCAGAACAAGGAGTTTCTGTCGACCCCGAGAAGATAGCGGCTATACAAGACTGGCCACAACCCACAAATGCAACAGAAGTAAGGAGTTTTCTGGGATTGGCCGGATACTACCGCAAGTTTGTAAAGGACTTCTCAATCATGGCGAAGCCATTGACAAGACTAACCGGGAAAGGAGTTCCATTCGTCTGGAGTGAAGAAATTGAGTGTGCATTCGCCGAGCTAAAAGAAGCATTGACGAAAGCACCCATTCTTACTCTACCGGAACCTGGCAAGCCATATGTGGTGTATACGGATGCATCACGGATTGGGTTAGGATGCGTTCTAATGCAAGAGGAGAAGGTAATAGCTTATGCCTCAAGACAGCTAAGGAAGCATGAAGAAAACTATCCGACGCATGACTTGGAGATGGCGGCAGTTGTCTTCGCGCTGAAGATATGGAGATCTTATCTGTACGGGGAGAGTGTTCAGGTATTAACAGATCACCAAAGTCTTAAATACTTGTTCACTCAAGCAGATCTCAACCTGCGCCAGAGACGTTGGATGGAGTTTATTGCGGACTACGACGTGAAGATTCAATACCACCCTGGAAAGGCCAACGTGGTAGCTGATGCTTTGAGCCGCAGAAGAGCAGAAGTGAGTGTGGAGAAGGATCTAGAAACACTAGGTCGTGAACTGAAGCTAGTAAGTTTATCAGCCTTGGAAGGAGAGTCCAGCGAGAGGTTGGGACTACAAGCGATAAACCAAGCCAGCCTATCAAACTCGTGATGCTTCATCGACGCCAAAAACTCACAAGTCAACTCCTTGTAAGACTCCATGCGGTGAGAGAAGAACTTCCCCAATTGCATGTTCTTGAGCACCAACTCCACATCCTCAAAGATCCCAAGATCTCTCATGGTGTCATCGTGTGGGTGCTTAGTCTCCACAAAGTCCATGGAGAAGAGAGCATTGTAGTGCTCTTGGTACATGGGGAGCTCATCCTCCTCTTTCTCTTCCTCAGCCTCTTCCATTGGCTCATCTTGGTTCTCCTCCTCATCTCCTCTTGGAGAGTCATCACCTTCTTCCCCTTGATCATTTACCCCAATCTCAAACTCTCCTTCTTCTTCACTCTCAGTCTCCTCACCTTCTTCTTCACTCGGAGAGTCATTCTTCTCCTCTTGGACCCGTTGCTCACTCTCACTTTCTATGGGGTCGTTCCTCTTCTTAGTTCTTCTTTCCTCCATCCGACTCTCACTGGAGGATTTCCCATCAGAGTATACATACCCTCCTGCATCATCTTCGTCCATCCTTTCATCCATCCTTCTCGCATCGGCTATCCTCTTAAGCTTTGCTTCTCTTGCAATGCTTGCAATGGTTTCTTCACCCTCAATCACCTCCCTTTGTGAGGCATGGCTTCCCTCACTGTTAGTCATCTTTGTTGCTCTGATTTCTCAGTTAGGTACCTGAAATGCATCAAAGATTACAAAGAATTAGAGTTGTAATGATCGGTTTGGTTAACTCGACACCTAGCTCGATCGAGTCAAAAAACTCGAGTGACAAACTCGATCGAGTCGGGTGAAAACAGAGTATAACCAAAACTAATTCATGTATTAAGAGCAGGAAAGATGCTAATTAATCAAATTGACCAAGAACAACTAGTAAATGGAACAATAAGCAATTTTAGAGAAGAACATAGCAACCTAACCAATACCTAACTCAAATTCAAGGGATTTTAAACATGCAACAAATTCAATGGTAAAACAGAGGTGAGGTGAAAGCAAATCTAACAAGTTTACCCAGCAGAGGCGAAATATGAAAGCAAATTCTCAATAACAAGTCCACAAGGGACATATGCAATCCAAAATCAAGAGAAAACAAGCAAACAAGAGGAATCGAGATGGAGGATTTATAGGGTTAGGGTTTTTACCTTGCTTGAGTGATGAATGAAGAACAGGAAACTGAAACTAGAGCGAAACAAGAGAAGCAACAATAGAAATCGCAAAAAAACTTGAAAGAAGAAGAGAGAAATTCGAAAACTTCTTGTGGTGAAGAGAGAGATGGATGAGTTTCAGAAATTTTAAGATTGTGGGAGAGAGAGAGAGGATTCGATCGAGTTATGGGGAAGAGAGTTGTTTGAGATGTGTGGTTGAGATTAAAAGATGAAATAAAGAGGGGAACAAGAAGCTAGGGTTCTCTGATCAATTAGGGTAGTGGGGGACCAAAATCAGCTTGTGGGACCCACTCCCTTGACCAAGAAAACGGTTATGAATTTGAAATTCAAAAACTTACCTCGGTCGAGTTGTGTAGCTCGATCGAGTTGCCCTGGTTTCTAGCTCGATCGAGCTATCGGTCGAGCTGGCTCCTTTGACACCTAAACTTAACTTATTCAAAGGTTAAAAACATAAAGATAGATAGAAATTGCATAAATAGAGTATGTACAAGGATAAACATGGGACTTCCTCCCAAGTGAGCTTGTTTAAGGTCCCATAGCTTGACCTTTACCTTTTAGGCATTGGTTGAGCTAGTCCCACCATCAAGGGTGATAGTGAGGACTTGAGACAGAAGCTCCTTTAGCTTGGTGGGTCCCTGGACTGTTCTGAAGTCACCAAGGCTTGGCTCTAGAGAATGGCCTTGATCTCCCCTTGTACCTTATCTTGTACTCAATCTTCCCATTTTCAAACTTGGTGGGGAACAAGGTCATTGTGAGCTGAGATGGCTTGATGAAGGGGCCTGAGCTGGTGGATCTTTTCTTTTATCCCTGGTCTTGCCTTAGAGGCTACATCCTCCCCTTCTTTTAGAGCCCTTCCTAGTGGCTCATCAAACAAAGCTTGAAGGCTCTCTTCATCAAGCACACAAGGGGCTTGAACAAGTCGCTCAGCTCTTGGCCTATCAGATCGTGGTTTCTCAACTCTAGCCCTCTCAAGACGTGGCTTCTCAATCCTTGGTCCTCTCTCATCCTTATCCTTCCCAACTCTTGGTTCCTTGTCAACCCTTTCCTTCACAACCTTTGTAGCTCCATGACTCTTAGAACTGAGATTGGTACTGTCAATTGTGGCACAAAAGTCTGAACCTCTAGGCTGCAAGCGATATGACACCAAACTATTCACCTTGTGAAGGATCACTTCTTGCTTGTGAAAGTCTATTGAAGCGCCAACTGTACTAAGGAAAGGGGTTCCCAATAACAGAGGCAAATCCTTCTCTTCTTCCATTTCCATCACAGTGAGATCAGTTTGGATGATGCATTCTCCAATTTTCAAGTGATAGTTCTTGAACACTCCAAGAGGAGACTTAGTAGTTGCATCTCCAAAGATGATTGAAGTAGTAGGGCGCTGCAAGGCTCCAGCTATGCCTAGCTTCTCTGCCATGGAGAGAGAGATCAGATTGATGCTTGCTCCAGAATCCACTAAGGCATTGTCAAGCTCAAGATGCCCAAGTGTGCAAGGGAGAGTGAATTTCCCTTGATCCTTGACCTTTGGTAGGAAGGTGGGTGAAGTAAGCAGGTTGAACTGATGAGTAGACTCTTGTAGGACCTCTGAAACTTTATCACTGTTGGCTAGAACATCCTTGACCATTTGCATTTGATCAAATGCCTCACTCATGCTATCCATAGGAGGCAACTCAATTCCAATCCCACTGAGATCTCTTCTGAACTTGTGAATCACTTCCTTGTGACCTTGACTAAGTAGGCGAGACGAGGAAGCGGCAACCGGTTGGTAAGGATCAAGCAAAACAGGTTGTCGGACAGAAGAGGTCGGACTCGATCGAGCTAGAGTTCGACTCGATCGAGCTGCCGATCGAGCTTGTCGTGCGAGCTCAACTGGTGAAGTGTGAATGGCCACAGTAGGTGCCTGCACTTCTGGTTGATCAATCTGGACTCCAGGAGCCTCAGCAGCAACAATCTCTTCATCATTCAGCAGTAAACAAAAATCTTCAATGACCCTTTCTTGATCCTCTTCTTCAACAAGTCCTTCTTGAGTGAAGATGACCTTGCACTGTTCCTTGGGGTTCTGAATAGCTTTACCAGGTAGTTGTCCTTGCTTTGTAGCAGCAGCAACAGAAGAAGCATGATTCTCCAGAGAGTAAACCCTTGTGTTGAGATTCTCGATCTTGAGTTGATTTCAGCTAGCTTCTTGCTTGTGTCCACAACACCATCAGCTTGCCCTTGAAGCAACTTGTTTCAGCATAGCCTTGAGCTCATTCTCTTGTGTGCAGGCTGGGGTGGTTGGTGGGGAAAGCCAGGTGGTATGTGCATTTGCTGACCAGGAAAAGTCCCTTGGGGCCTTGGTAGTTGTTCTTTTGACCATACCCTGTTGTGGGGCTTGACTCGATCGAGCTTGCTGTTGTTGAGGATAGACTTGGTCCTGAGGGTTAGCAACATCAGTGTTGCGGTATGACATGGCTGGGTTGGACTTGTAATTATAGTATCCTTTGTTGTAACCTCCTTGCCCATTGCTCATGTAGCACACCTCAGCAAATTGTGTATCCTCCCCTTCTTGGACTGGTTCCATCTCCTCAGCAGACACAAAGTTGACTTTCTTCATTGTGGACTGAGCTAGGATCAGCTTATCCAACTTCTCATTCAATGCCTTAACATCTTTTCTCTCATCTGACTCGATCGAGTGGTGGGTCGAGCTCCGGTTGGTGCGATCATACTCTTCTCCATAGCTTCCATTGGAGTTAGCATGTTCTCCACAAGTTGCCAGCCATCATCTACATCCTGGTTGAGGAAGTTCCCATTGCTAGCTGTGTCTAGCATCTCCCTATACCTAGGCAAGCATCCTCTATAAAGAGTGGAGAGTAGTGATTCATTGTTGAATCCATGGTGTGGGCACTGACTTGTGTAGCCTTTGAACCTCTCCCAAGCCTCTGCGAATGTCTCATTGTTCGCTGGATGAAGCTGGATATCTCTCCTCTAAGCTTGGCTGTGCGACCGGTGGAGAAAAACTTAGCAAGAAAGGCCTTCTTGCATTCATCCCAAGTGGTGATTGTGCCATGGGGCAAGCTCTTCTCCCATTGGTGAGCTTTGTCAGCTAGAGACATAGGAAAGAGTCTCAGCTTGATGGCATCTTCAGAGACACCATTGATCTTTGTCAAATCACAAAGCCTATCAAACTCATCAAGGTGGTCAATGGGGTCTTCACTTGGCAATCCATGGAACATCTTGTTCTGGACAAGGTTGATCATTCCCAGCTTGATCTCAAAGTTGTGGTTCTGCACTGGTGGTGGAACAATCCCTTGTCTCTGTTGGTGGCGGTTTGGAGCATCTCCTTGACCAATCGGTCGAGTTTGCCTAGCTCGACCGAGTCCATTACCCAAAGGGTTTCCATTCCCCTATCAGTAACAACACCTCAGGTTCCTCTTGTACCCTCTGAACCCTCTTTCTACCCGTTGTGAAGTCTAGCTCGACCAAGTCTTCAGTTGACCGACTCGATCGAGTTCGCATACACCTGCAAAAAGAGACAAAAACCCAGCAGTACAATAGAACAGGGGTGGTATAGCTTGATCGTCCAAGTGTGTTTGAAACTCAAATGCAACAAAAATATTCCCAAATCGGCAACGGCGCCAAATTGATGATAGGATTTGTGTGTGGGTGATATATGAAATGAGGTGGAATGCAAACAGTGGTGAATAAAGATGAAATGGTGCAAACACAATCAATCAATTCCTCTTAACCATCATAGTCATTGAAGTATAAGAGGTTATCAATCCAAAATGGGAAACTTGTCACTCTATGAGAATATGAAACAACCAGAAGTCAAGCAAGCAGTTATAGATTTGAAGTAACACTAACAACCTAAAAAATGAAATGCAGTGCAATAAAAGTAAACAAAGCAGTAAACAAGTAGCTCGACCAAGGACTCGAGTCGAGTAGGAACAGAGTACCAGCTCGATCGAGTTTAGGGTCGAGTTGAGAAAAAAAGCTAAAGGTGACGACTTTAACAAGCTAAGAGAGAATTAGGGTTCAAGACAGGGTTTTGCAATCAAAGGAATCTACACTTAATCAATCTAGCTCTTAAAACTCCTTGTATCAAGGCTTCTCTTGATATTGGGCTTCTCAATGCCTAGCCAACCCTTTCCCAAGGTGGAGGCTATCAACCAAGGAATGATCTCAGAAACAGGGGGTTAGCCAGTGAGAATCAAACCTTGGAGGCTATAGGATCATTGCCCAAACTAATCCATCCAACCCCTTAGACCTCTATGTCTAGAGCAAGAGATATTGGAGCTCTTAGTGGATCTTTTCCAGCGAATGCCATCACTTCGTGTGGGGAGTCGCCTAAGGACTTACAAGCCAGGGGTAGTGGTCATGTAGCCTTAAGATCTATCCAAAAGAGAGAGAATCTAGATTAAGACCATAAGCTAGAAGGATTAAGCATATGAAACCTCTAATCTATCCCATCTCAAACCCTAATGGGTAACTACTCACTACACATGAATGTAAACACAAGCAAATGCAATAAAAGAGACATCATAAGAAAGAGGAGATGAAATTAAACAACTTTTATTGAAATAAGCAAGTGCAAATACAAAGAGATTATCCAGGATCTAGGATTCAAGAAGCAAGAGCTTCAAGAACACAAAGATGGGATTAGGCTCTCTAAAAAGTAAAAGACAATAAATTAAAAGAAACTAAAACAAAATAATCTAAAGCTTGGTGGTTTTTTCGTGGCTTTTAGAGCCTTTAAATACAAAGAGGATTAGGTTTAGGGTCAAAGGAAAGTCAAGGGGGAAGCAACATTTTTCGGGTTTGACTTTGACTTCCAGCTCGATCGAGTTGAAGCTTGGCCGGTCGAGTTGAGGAACTCGACCGGTTGGTCGAGTAGACGGTCGAGCTGGTCTTCAAGATGGCTTCTCCCTTCTTCCTTTGCGTATCCAGTTGAGCTGCTTCCATGTGCCAAGTCCCTCCATGCTCCTTATGTCCCATATGCTCCAGAATGCTCCAAAAGACCTATTTCAAAGGACCAAACATGCATATGTATGCAAATGCAACCTAAAACTAACATGAATGCATAAGAAGAGAAAAGGAACAAGATATGATGCAAATGGAAGCTAAAACTATGCAAAAGATGCATAAAAGATGTGCTAAAACTATGTAAAATGCAAGTACATCACCGAGGCATGAAAATGTCTTTAAGGAATCAACTCCATCTCACTTCCAACCTTTGATGAGTATGGAGCTGAAGAGGAGACTAATGGTGCACCTAATCTCTTTCACAAGATAAGAATCTTTACACCAAAAGATTCGGAGCTTAAAGGTGACCAATCCATTGAAGAGAAGCTTGAGAGAACTATGAAGCTTTTCCCCAAGGCATTGGTTTTCAAAGATGATGTGAGAGATGACTATGGCGCGACAACACCACCACAAGAGCCACTGAACCGGAGAATGGAGAAGCTAAAGGGATCCTTTGCCCTTCAGCCACTCTTCACCACGATTGAAAGAAAGAGAAGGAGTCAAGCTAAATGACTTAAAACAAAAGCGCTTTATGGGAGGCAACCCATATGGTTTTTAACTATTATTTCTATTTTGCAGGAGTTTTTCAAAAATCAAACAAAAATACAAAAATATTTTCTTAGGATGAAGACCCAAAGGAGACCAAACAATGGAAGTGTCCCACCCAATGAGCCCACCCTTGTACAAGGCGTTTCTCTTCCAAAAGGTAAGTAAACTCTCACCTAGTATTCATTTCTAATCACTCTTGATCTTCACTTGAAAAATCGTTTAAACCATTGCACTTTATCAAATATATTTCATGGTTTAACTTGATTTACTTTTGATGATTGGAAAGAATACATAATCACTTGTCAAAACTCATTTCTCACTGAAATTACAAGAGATTGAACTATAGTTTGAAATTTGGATCATTGACCAAGACCAAATAAGAATTTATAGTTTGTGCTTTAATCTCTTGGATTGTGAACTTCAAGTTGGTCACTTGAGGATCACAATCTGAGAAACCATCTAATCATGATTTCAAGTGTTTTGCAAGGAGTTAACCATTTGACAGGAAGGAGAAATAGAGCAAACCTATCAACCACCTCAAAACCAACATGCATATGGCGGCCAAAGGGAGGTTAAAAGGAGATACATAGGCCATCACACGAAACAAGGCGGCCACCACTTGGGAATGACACAGGAGGGTTATTAAAACAATTCGGTCGAAGAAAATCTCAATTGGCCCGAGTGGATTTGAAGAAATTCAATCCGTACATTTCTCTCGGCCATGACGGATACACGGCCAACTCCTAAACGGCGTGACCAAAGTCCACCAAACTTCACAGGCGACCATAAAATCACATTTTGGTCGGCAAATCCAAAAGATAGGACGGAGAAATCATCACGGATCATGAGATAGACGACGGAGCCATTCTGGCCGATGGCGCGCAAGCAATATGGCCGACAAAACCAAATCACGGCATAGGCGCGCCAACCGGTTGGAAAACTCTTCTTTGAGCTTAACTAACACTTTTATGCAGGAAGAAACGAAAAGGAACGAGCCAAACTTCACATGGCCAAGGAAACTCCTTCCCGGAGCCGACTTGACCATTTTGTGAAGGAAGTCTCAATCCGCTCGTACGAATGCTCCCAAACTTCACCAGAGGCTATAAAATACCAGGTTGGTCGATGAAATTTCAATATAGGTCATGAAATTTTGACGGTTTGTTCTGTAGTTCACAGCACCACATTTTGGCCGACCGAATATACCAATCTCGGCCAAAACACAAACCGGCGGAAACCAAGGCCTGAAATTCAAAAACTCACCGACCAATATTGCCTAAAGAAGTGTAGAATGACCCAAACCAGAACTGATCTTCATTATAAATTGGTCGACATTTGGTAACATCATCCTAAACCTTTTTCTTTTCAATTTTTCATTTGAACTTCATGTTATGCCTCTCTTAATCCGATTTTTTCACCGGGACGGTGCAAGTTAAGTCTGGGGGGATTACTAACAATGTTTGTTCATTTTGGCATTTTCATTTGCATTTTTCCCTTTTATCGAGTCGTTTTTATTGAGTCAAAATTTTTGTCGAGAATCATGACCTTATCTTGGATCTAACCATGATTGTACTAATGTTTAAGTGACCATTGAGCAGTTCTTGGCAATACATCTTACCACAGGTGCACTATGAGTTGATCGATCTACCAAAAACGCCCACATCTCTAAAGACTTGAGAAGGATCCATCTTTGACTCCGCCCTTAATGAACTTAATCTTCTCAGCTAGGGGCTTGGCATACAAATGGCATGATTCCTCATCCTCTCCATCAAATGAAAAAGTCTTAGTGAGTTCGTGCTTCCCTCTCTCTCCCCTTCAAATTTAAAGAAAAAGCGTAAGGTCCAAGTAACCGGGGATTCGGTGGCAAACACCATCAATACTCGCGTCTATGGAAGGCCTATGAATCCAAGCAACCGGGGATTCGGTGGCAAACACCATCAATACTCGCGTCTGTGGAAGATCCAAGCAAAACCTCTATAATAAAGAGAAGGAGTTGAATAAAAAAATACTTCGCTACCCTAAAAAAGGGATGAATCAACTCAAGAAGTGAGAAGAGAGAGAGGAGAAACATGGAGTAAAAAGACAAGTGCCAAACAAGGGGATGAGTAAAGTCTAAAAGCCGGCTGATCGATACTCCCTAGTTGAGACCACACCTTTAGAAATGAAAGGAGTCAAGGGTGGCGAATTGGATTGTCCAAGGAGAGGTGGACCGCTTTGGAAAAATCGCAAAACTCATGGTATGTACTTTGTTCTTAATTCAAAATTTGCCAATGCTGTTTCATGTGGATTACTAAAGCATAAGTCAATTTGGATTTCCAAAAGATTTGAGAGTTCTCACGTTTTCAAACCTCTTTTCCTGCTTAGTTTGCTTGGGGACAAGCAAAAGGCTAAGTCTGGGGGAGTTGATATCACCATATTTTACATGATTTTACTATATATTTACTATGTTTTCAAACGGTTTTTGCAAGATTCTTTGCCTTTAGAGGTAGTTTTCTTGTATTTGTGGGATTTGAAGTCTTTGTAGGTGAAATATCAAAAAGGATGCAAAAAGGAGTAAAAGAGCCCTAAATCAAGATCCATGCAAGTTTCCAAGTCAAGAAGATCATTTTATCTCCAAGTGTTAGTTCTCGCTAGCGCGCAGAACGAAGCTTCGGAAGTTTGGCCGCGCGCGGAGGAGTTCCCGACGTCCAAAAGTTACGATCTTGATATGGAAAGATAGATACTTGAGTCATGCATCACGTCGAAGTGGAATGAAGCCATTTGGATCAACTATGAGGCCTAGACTTATTTTCTACCGAGACATGTCCGGTAAGCGAGTAAACGAAGCCCATGGAGGATTTGGAGTGTCTAATGGCCCGAGCAGCAGCGCCAAAGGCCTTGATCGAATAGAGAAGAGGCCTGGCTAATGTTTGGAGCTTTCCTTGGTACAATGTCGGCCCATACACGACGTGGAGAAGAAGGCTTTGCTCGCGGGAAACTTTCCTTTTCCGGCATGAAGAAAACCCTACGCGACTTCGCCCATATATACATGTTTTTAGCCGCTGAAGAAGAGAGTCGAGTCCAGTCCGAAAATTATCAAAGAGTGTACGTGTGAGAAGAGAGAGAGAGAAGAGAAGCCCTAGGAGATCGTCCAAGAAGAAGGAGGCGCCGCTCAACTCTTGTTCTTTCTTTTTCATTGTTTCCATTTCTATAAACTTGATCTTAAGAGTTTTCAAGGGAGAATCCGACTTTGTTCATCAATAGAGAAGCTTTCTTCATCCCTTTATCTCTTTTAATACTTGCATAATGTTTACAATCATGCTTTGCTTGCTTGTTTGCATCATGGCCGAGTAGATCTCTTAGTTAGGCCGAGGAGATCTATGGTGGCCGTGATGATTTGATTGTGTTGCAACTAATTGGGATTTATCTTATGGATCTTCACCTTTACTTGAGCTTAATGCATGATTACTCTACCGTACATCTAGTAATCTGATCTTAGAGAAATAGAACCACGACAGTGCTGAATCTAGATCTCAAAACTAGTATTTGGTGAGCAATAGATCATAGCCAACGAAAGCTGAGTTATGGTTTATTGTGAACAATTGAATCTTGAACCTTGTAATGCATGTTTGCAATTCTAATAGCCAACGAAAGCTGAGTATATTAGGTTGTTTTAAACATAGTGGTTGGAGCCACGACAGTGGAAAGACCATACACTAGTGATTCATGTTCAAGACGGCTCTACACACATCCCATGCAACTATCTTTTCATCATTGCTCCATATGATTGTCCTTTGCCTAACTCTTGTTTTAAATTGTTTACAACCTCACTCACATTCTTTTGTTTTGTTTTCTCATTCTTAGGTCCCAAAACCACCTCATATTGCGAGCTAGCTTAAGACCAATCTCACAAGGTGTTAAGTGAGAACACTTCCTCCTCGTGTTCGACCCCGACTACAACACGGCTGTGCACTTGCAGCTCATTAGTTGGGTTTATAAATTGTGAAAATTTGAGGCAATCTAAACCCGCCATCAATTGCGCTTTGGCAACACTTGTTTTCTCGGGATCGTGCTTCGATGAAACCGGTTGGGGTCGCGCTTCGGCAACAATTGTTTTCACGGGATCGTGCTTCGACGAAACCGGTTGGGGTCGCGCTTTGGCAACACTTGTTTTCTCAGGATCGTGCTTCGACGAAACTGGTTGGGGTCGCGCTTTGACAACACTTGTTTTCTCGGGATCGTGCTTCGACGAAACCGGTTGGGGTCGTGCGTTCTTAAGGTGGTAACGATTTTGAAGGCAACGACGAGATGGAATTGATGCTTCTTCCATCGACGAGATGGAGGTGACGGTTTTGCTGTCACCAATCTTTTGCGTATCGGCAAGGATTTCTGTATAGTCGGGTGTCGAGCTGGTAGCGCCGTGCACTTTGGAGCTGATTGCGTTGAGGTCGCGGTGCAGCTTGGCCACTTTTGGTCTTGTCGCTGTTCGTCGCGACGTTAAAGCTTGTTGCTGTTCGTCGCAAACATCGCGGCGTTAGTGCATGTCGCCGTGGTGCTTCTTGTCGGCTTCTGCGTTTAGTGCCAGTTGTGGCGGAGGGTTGACGTGACCGTTGGTCGCGTCGACTTCGACGGGATGGACGATAGGGTTTCCATCTGCGCCGAGTTCGCTTTGGAGTCCGGTGTTGGGATCATCAGGTGGAAGTCCCATCTTTGAACCTTGATTGACTTTTTTCAGAGTTTTTTCTCCAGCCCTATGGTGGGCGCTGATTGTTAGAATCACACAGTAATAGTAAGATAAGAGATGTGAGGTTTAGGAGAGACTCTTTATTAAATCAACCAAAGACAAAGATGATACAAGGGGTGATTCGTCTCGATGATAAGGCTTGACGAGATGAATACGAAAAGAATAGAGAAGCTAAGAACAAAGGACGAATTATAACTAGGGTTTTGCCTCTTTGCTCTCAGTGATTGTGGAGAATTTCTGGATGTTTGTGGATGGTCTTCAAGGAATAGGGGGTCTTCTATTTATATGGAGAGGAGGTTGGCTTCTTCAAGATATTCTTCCATATTTCTTTTGGAAATATTCTTCTTTGGTGTTGATCTCCTTCTATTTTTCTTGGATGTAGTCTTTTTCTCCAAGTACTTCCTTTTCTTTGAGGAGGTGGAAGTGAAAGCGGGCCGAGCTTACATAGTATTATTAATTGTGACGGGCTCAGGGAAATTGTGCTAATTTCTGCTCTAACAATAAGTCCCCCCCAGTTTGGCGTGCATTTATCTCGGCAAACTTCATGTATAAAAGAGGAGCTCAAGAGCAATTAATAATAACTATGTGATGCTGACGCGATGCCGATGCTGTCGCGATGCTGTCGCGATGCTGTGCTGACGTGATGCTGCATTGCGTTATTGACCTTAGATCTGCACTGCCTGGTTAAAACCTTGATATGGAAAAACCCTATAGGATAAAAACCATAAGAAGGGAAAAGAGTAAAGTGACGTAATCTTGTCCGCAAATAGAATATGCTTTTGATAATTTCTCTCGGACTTGACGAGATGACTCTTTTGTCTCGTCAAGGAGAATAGATTGCTGTGACGATTTTTCTCGGATTCGAACTTCGACGAGATTGGTTTTATCGGGCTCGTGTGATGACTGCATGAATGAATGCTATCAAGCATGCATGAATGCTATCCTTTGACTTCCTATCACTTAACAAGTAAACTACTCAGACATAGAGAAGGAACACGAATTCATATTCATAAGAACAGAGATTCGAATCCTCTCTAAAAAGAGAACAAGCAAGAACAAAGTAAAAGCAAGCAAAAATTTATTAAAGATGTAAAATAGATTGTCGTCTCTCTCCTTCTTGAGTTACAAGGCTAAAAAGAAGTATTTATAATGCACTAAGTATGAAAAAGCGGCTAGACCTAATCTTGCTAAGTCGGCGCCGGCTTTGGGCTTGAATTGTGCAGATTGGGCTTCAAAAACGGCTTCGGGTCGACCACGGCGTTCGGACGGTCGGTCAGGACGGTCGGCCGGACAATCGGGTCGTGTCGTAATCAGAACGGTCGTGGCCGGATGATTTCTCGGTCGGCCGGTGTGGTCGGACGGGTGGTGGATTGGTCGATGCTTCTCGGCTGGACGCGGGACATGGCTTCTCGGCTCGGACGGCGCCATCGGCCGTGGTACGCTAGTAAGGTCGCGCGGCCACAAGGCTTTGCTTCCCGGCTCGCGTGGCATGGTCGTGCGCGGCATGGCATTGAGTGGTTTGTGGCGTGGCCGACCGCAAGTCATTGCTTCCCGGGTCGTGATGTGCATTCGGCCGGACGAAACGAACTTTGGCCGAGACTTCAGACGGACGGATTTGGTTTTGGCCGACCGCGGAACATCGTTCCTCGGCCGGCCGCGCCGGCTTGGCCGCGGTTCTGGATAGAGCCGCATGGACAGTCTTCACTATTTTGATATAACTCCTTTTCTACTATCCAAATGAGCCACTTGCGTTGGAAAGTTAACTCATCAAAGCACGCAGGAACTGGTCTTGATGAAATCCATTGAGTAGATCTTTTTTAGCTCCATCCAAAGTTGATGCAGTGGCATTGAACTGTTTGAGTCCAAATCCTCTGTTTTGCTCCATAATGCACCTTTTTACCTAAAATGACTCTTTGCAGTATAAATCCATAAAAACTACCTTTTAACACAAGAATCCACTAGAAAACCATTAGAAAACCATAGTAAAATAGCATAAAAAGCATGTAAAATAGAGGTATATCAACTCCCCCAGACTTAGATCTTTGCTTGTCCCCAAGCAAATCAAATCTAAACTAGTGAAGAGGTTTTGAAAACACGAAAACTCACTTATCTTTTGGAACTTGTATCTCCCATTGCTCTGCTCTCTTTGGGACAAACCAACTTTGAAGCTGGCTATCACGTACTGACCTTGAGTTTAGCAAACCATACCGGACCCAACAAATCTCATCCAGTATTCCAAACTCTCTATTGCTAACTCCTTGCAGTATTTAAAGTGTGTGGTCTTTATCAAGGGAGTATTGATCACAAGGCATTGATTCTTACCCATCCAAGTCTTTGCCAAGATAGTCCTTCTTGCTCATTCAGTACCAAACCTCTCTCCTTCTCTCTTATCATTGAAGAATCGATTTTTCCCTACTTTTCTAGGGTATCATTTTATTTTTTCTATCGATTCTCCTTCCCCTAAGATTTCTCTTTGTGGGATATATGGATTGGCATTGAGCTTCCTCCTTAGTATAAGGTATTCCATAAGACATGAAGGTACATAAGTATGCATTCCTCATGCTTACTTGTTTTCCTTGTGCTCTTTGAGCTTTTGATCTTTCTATTGCAGATAAGGAAGAGGATGGACTGTTTCTTTTCTAGACATATCTCAACTAAACTCATATGAGGAGTCGGCTCTCATGAATCTCAAGCCCCTTGACAAGAGAAATTAAAC